CACTGCACTCCAGTCTGGGTGACAGAGTGAGATTCCAACTCAAAAAAAAAAAAAAATTTTGTTAGTGAAATGAGGTTATGAGCAGTTTTTATTTTCTTCTTTATTCGCTTCCTTATTTTCAAGAGCATTCTAACAGTGTCAAAGCCACAAGGGAAAAAAAGATTTTTTTTTTTTGAGTCTCACTCTATCACCAAGGCTGGAGTCTAGTGGCACCCTCACAGTCACCGCAGCCTTGACCTGCTGGGTTCCGGCAATCCTTCCGCCTCAGCCTTCCAAATAGCTGGAACTACAGGCGCACACTACCGCGCCCAGCTAATTGTTGATTTATTGTAGAGATGAGGTCTCACCAAGTTGCCCAGGCGGATCTCAAACCCATAGGCTCAGGCAATCCACTCACTTCAGCCTCCCAAGGTACGGGATTACAGGCTGAGCCACCGAGTCTGGCTTAATTTTTTTTTTTAAGTAAGTGTCTCACTCTGTTGCCTAGGCTGGAGTGGAGTGGCACACCCACAGCCACTGCAGCCTTGACCTGTTGAGCTCAGGCAATCCTCCCGCCTCAGCATTCCAAGTAGCTGGAACCACAGACATGCACCGCCATCCCCAGCTAACTTTTTTAATTTTTTTTTTTTTTTAACGTAGAGACTAAAGTCTCACCAAGTTGTCCAGGCTAGTCTTGAATCCCTGGGCTCGGGCAGTTCTCACCTCAGCCTCGCAAAGTACTGGGATTACAGGCTTGAGCCACAATGCCCAGCAAATTAATATATTTTCAGGACTTTCAGTGTCTCTTACATCCATTCCTTTCTCTGATGGTCTCCTTATTGAGTACAAATAGTTTACTCTGCCTTCACCTTCAGCTTCAACATAACCATTGTTATTCTAAAATATTGCTGTGATCCTGATACCTGCTTTAAAAGTTCCCATTTAACTCTCAATCTTGCAATAGGAAACCTCAAATCACTAACTTACCCTCCAGAAATCTTTTGATGTTTCTGAAACATTTAGAATTAATATTGTGAGAGAACATTTGAATATATTTCAGATACTTTATCTTGTTTAAAAAAAAAAAAAAAAAAGAGCTTGACTTGTCTTGAGAATGTTGAAGGGCTACTTTGTGAGCAATGAGTTAGTCTTGTTCTGCAGTTACACCAGGACATAGAACTACAATCCATGGTTAGAAGCTACAGAACATCTTCTGTACATTTAAGAGATCTGCAACTGGAATAAACTGCCAAAAGGTAATAGGTTTGGTAGGCATAACGTTGAAGGAATTCAAAGGTCAGATGCATAGTTGACTGATGAAACATGTTAGTGTTGCTTGAATCCCTAAGATATCTGTAGTTCTAATTATAAAGAGTTATCAAAACAAGAACTGGCTTGATGGCTCAGCCTGTAATCCCAGTACTTTGGGAGGCCAAGGCAAGTGGATTGCCTGCGCCCGTGGGTTCGAGACCAACCTGGGCAACTTGGTGAGACTTCGTCTCTACAATAAATCAAAAATTAGCCTGTTGTGGTATCTCGGGCCTGTAGTTCCGGCAACTTGGCAGGCTGAGGAAGAAGGATCACCGGTACCCAACAGGTCAATGCTGGGGTGGCTGTGAGTGTGCCACTGCACTTCAGCCTGGGCGACAGAGTGAGACTTCAACTCAAAAAAAAACCCCAAAAAAACAAAAACAAGAATATAGTTATAATTTACTTAGAAAAATGACCAGTGGAGGCAGAAGGATTGCCTGAGTGCAGAAGGTCGAGGCTGTGGTGAGTTGTGATGATACCACGTGATGGGTGACAGAGTGAGACCCTGACTCAAGAAAGAAATCACCAAGTAAAACTAAATTTTTTTTTAAATCTAATTACCTTCTAAATGCAAAAACTGGGAAAACCTTTACCAGGAACATTGAGATTGTTTTCATTTCATCTTCACAAAAGAAATGGAGAATATTCATTTCATTCAAGTTCAAAAAGGATGATGATACTTCTTGGTAAAGACTGTAGCTTGAGTACATATGTCTGGTTTTATTCCCTTTCAAAACTACACTAATGCTACAGCAAATAATTTTTTCACACACACACAAAAAAACACTCATAATCACAGGAAAAATGATAGAAGCGGCAACTACAAAATTTTGGAAACTGAAAAATGGTTAAGTAGTAATGACTTATCAATCTAAGAAGACCCAATTCTAGCCTTCAGGGGGGCAAGTAAAGGACAAATCTGTTTTATATCATAGAATCTTTAAAAGCCTCAAAACTTGGTGGTACTATATACCTCTGGAAGTGAGGATGAAAGAAACAAAAGTGAAAATCAGTTGAAAGCTATTTAGGAAGCAGGCAGAGTCCTAGGTTCCCAACTCTAACAGAAAACTGAAGGTTTATTCTCTAAGGTAAAACAAAAGATATTTGGGCTGGAGACCACCAGACACACAAAAGTTCCATTTTGAAAAAGGATTTATATCTCCATTAAGTGGGCATGTGCAAAGTCCAATACCTTCAACCTACTTTCTTCCCTTGTTTACACAGAATATTAAGGGTCAAAGCTTTTGTCTTCCAGGCAAAAGATTAAAACCGGTATCCTGTGAAAAATCAACCAGAAAGAGAGACCAAAAGATACATAAGGAGTTTCTCAACAAGTGGCCCACCCAGATATCTCAGTGAAAATCAGCAAGTCCAAGTCATGACATCAGAGCTTTCCATCAGTTTTATAGTCCTCCTCTATTAAAGAAAAAATGTATTATGAAAAGTTTCAAACCCATGCAAGAGTAAAGAAAATACACACGCAAGGTTGCAGCTCTATTCACAATAGCAAAAATATGGAAACAACCATGCTGCCCATTGAAGCTGGACTGGATTAAAAAAATGTGGTACATATACACAATGGAATATTATGCAGCCATAAAGAAGGACAAACATATGGACTTCAGAGCAACTTGGATGGACTTAGACGCTATAATACTGAGTGATCTATCACAGAAACAAAGAAGCAAGTATCACATTTCTCACTCATAAGTGAACCTTGAACAACTATCATAATACTATAAGAAAGGGATTGGCAGTAGTGGGAAACTACTAGAGAATGTGGGGGGATGGAATTGGCAGTTGAGGGAAACTGCTAGGAGAGGGAGGGCACACTTCATCAATAAGAGTAACTGCATAATGAACATTTGTATACCTAACCCTGAATTGTACCCCACATCTTTAAAATAAAATTTTAAAAAGAAAATAGAACTCCATGTGCATATTATTCAGTTTCACCAATTATTAATTCAGGGTTTATCTTTTTTCATCTATATCTCCACCACTCCCTCTGCTCAAGATTATTTTCAAGCAAATTCCAGAAAATATGTCTTATTCATAAAGATTTAATTATCTGCAGGAGATAATGACTTGTTTAAAAAATGATGAAAAACCAACAATAAAGCCAGGTACAGTGGCCTGTGCCTGTAGTTCCAGCAATGTAGCAGGCTGTGGTGGGAGGATCCCTTAAGCCCAGGAGTTCTAGGTCAGCCCGGGCAACACCTTGAGACCTGGTATCTTAAAAAACAAACAAAACACCTAACACTAGTACATTTATCACACCTAAACAAAATTATCCATTTTGGCAATATCAAAAATTCATTCACGTGTTCAAAATTTTCTGTGCTTTCTCCATTTTTTTTACACTTAAAAAGAATCAGTATTCCAATGAAGTATACAACGGTGATTAGTTGGATGTATCTTTAAGTTGTTTAATATATAAATTCGCCCTACAATCTCTTCTTTTTTCTTGCAATTTATTTAATGATTAACTAGGTTGTGCTGCAGAGTTTCACCCAGTTTGGATTTTAATTATTGCACCCTTTTGCTGGTATTTAACATGTTCCTTTTCCCTATATGTCCTGCAAATTAGTTAGATCTAGGGGCTTTATCAAATTCAAGTAAGATTTGGTTTGGGTAAGACTACTTCATAGACATCCATGCAATCCTTTTTTAATTTAATGTGACTATAGAAGTCTTCAATAGCTTCCTTGCTTTTGGGAGAAAAGGTTTTCCAGGTCAATCTAGTATATTTCCCTGGGAACTAATACAGGAATGTATCTAATCCTGACTTGCACCCCACACCTTTATAATAAAATAAAGTAAAATCAAATTAAATAAAAATAAAATTTTGATTTAACTTAAAAAAACTAAGTAGTCTGATACCATTTACTTAAATAGAATTTATTAATTATATATATATATATATATATATATATATATATATATATATATATATTTCCAGAAAGAAAACTCCAGGCTCAAGTGGTTTCACCCTTTAACTCTACTAAACATGCAAGAAAAAAATAACCCCAATATTAAACAAACCCATTGTATGAAGCTGGCATAAGCTTGATACCAAACCCTGATAAGGAAATTAAAAAGAAAATTACCAGCTATTATCATTCATGAATGTAGTGA